CCACAGTCGTACCCACTGCTTTTGAACAATTCGTCTCTCCACTGCTCCACCTTTTCTCTATCCTTGCGCATTCTATCCGTCTCCTTTTCTTGCGACCAAGGGTCCAAAGTAACCGCTCCATGCTTGTCCAACACTTCTGCAAAGGTATGCTCCTTAGCTGCAGACGGTGCAGGCGCGGTGCTCTCGATGGACGAGCGGAATGGGAATGCGGCATTGAGCGAGGAATTGGAGAAGCGTGCACAGCGCTTATCGGATTCTTCGGCATCGTCCGCTTTTAGCCTCGAAGTGCTCGCGCAGGGCGAGGAAGCGGTCATCACGGATCGACATGCCCCCAGCCACGCTTCGAATCCGGCAGGCAGATCTTCCCGATTACGCGATGGCTCAGTGGCTCCACTCATCGTCATGGGAGCCTTTGCGTAGCAGTTTTGTCGAATTTGCGAGCTGATTGAAGAGGTGTGCGTCGTAGCTACGCACGCGAAGGGATCGATGATGCTGCTACTACTACTGTGACTACTTAACTAGATCGCGAAGAAGACTGGTCGAGACTCATCATCCGAATTGACTTGCTCAACGTCGGAGCGAATCAAAAATCGATCATTGCCCGCTGTGTTCACGTGACAGCTTCGGACGCGCGGTGGTAACTGCCTGCCGCGCAAGCGCCGCACGGACGTCTTGCTTCCCACAGATCCACGACGACGATTCACGACTCACGATTGCTGATGCCAAGCCCTGACAAGAACCTTGCGCTTCCATACCCCAGAGTCGACCACCATATCCGTGATTAACAGCAACTTCTCTCGAGCTGGTCGCACAAGTTCGAGCTGCTCACACCGACGACCCGGAGTATACAATCCGTACGCAGCCGCATCGTTTGAGCTACAATGGTAAGTGAGGTCCATTCTTCTTTGGCGTTCGCGCTCTGCTCATCGAACTTGCACCTCTCACTCCCACGCATGCACACGCACTGTTCGCCAACAGTTTCGAAAGTAAGTGACGGCACAGAGGCTCGCTTTCCGGTCAGAGCAAAGCTGACAGGTGCTGCACACGCTCTGGCAGCTCATACGATTCCGACAACACCGTCTGTGAGTAGTGTCGGAGTGCGTGCGACGTCGCATGTCCAGGAGGCTGACAATCTTGTCGTACAGTCTCACCGCAGGGTCGTTTGCATCAGGTAGAGTATGCGCAGGAGGCGGTCAAGCAGGGATCAGCAGTCGTCGGACTGAGGAGCAAGACTCATGCTGTTCTCGTGGCTCTCAAGAGAGCGCCTTCGGAGCTGGCTAGCCATCAGAATAAGATGCTCAGGGTGGACAATCACGTCGGAATCGCTTTTGCCGGTCTGACCAGTGATGCAAGAGTTCTCAGGTGAGCTTGGGCATGCCGAGCAACGAGACATTGGGTTCAGGACTGATGAGGAGGGACGTTTGGTCACGCTCGCAGCAACTACATGAGGCAATTGGCGCTATCTTCTCGATTGCTTTACAGTCGTCCCCTTCCAGTCTCCCGTCTTATCTCTTCGCTGGCAGACCGTGCTCAACTGAACACTATGCAATACGGCAAGCGACCGTACGGTGTGGGATTCTTGGTGGCAGGAGTGGACGGAAGTGGCGCACACCTGTACGAATTTTCGCCCACAGGCAACTGCTTCGAGTACTACGCTATGGCCTTGGGAGCAAGATCTCAGAGTGCAAAGACCTACTTGGAGAGGAAGGTGGATACCTTTGAGGATTTGAGCAGGGAAGAGGTCATCATGGAGGGATTGTATGCATTGCGAGACACGTTGCAACAAGGCAAAGAGGTGAGCCAGGCTGCGCCACGAGTGCTGAGACACGCAAGCTTGGAGCGACGCTGAGCGCATCATGCACACGACGCCCACAGCTGGAATTGGATGCAGTCTCTCTATCTATCGTTGGACCAGGAGCAGATGCGGATGCTTCGAATCCATCGGCTCGCACGGCCGAGAAGTTCAAGATCATCGAGGGAGAAGATTTGAGACCATTCTTGGAGAAGCTCTCACCTAGAGCTAATCCTGCTGTCTCCACGACTACTGGCGCCACACCTGGGGATGGCACTGGCGCACCCGGCGGTCAAGCTACGGAAGGAGATGTGACGGCGATGGAGGAGTAAAGCCGATCATCGACGTGTAGCTAAGTCAGCCACCGCGATGTGTAAAAGGTTGACGTTACCATGAAAGAGATGCTTGTAGCTTGCTGCCTGCCGCGATAGTCTTTCAAGCAGGAGCTGAGATTAATCAGCTTTCCACAAAGGCGCAATAGATCCGCATTGTTGGCAAGGAGACGATTGAGGAGGGTGGCTGAGGCTCCGTTCGAACGCCTGGACCAGTCACGAGTGTGAACACGCAATTCGCGATCATTCCATGTGTGTGTGTTGCACGGCATGCTCTCCGCGTGCATCGACGCTCCTGACCTCATCAGCGACCAAGGCGGCAGACATCGCTGCGTGCGTGCGCCCGCCCGCCCGTGACTGCATGGCGCGCGAAGATGCAAAAATCGCAGCGCGCCCCGCCCCCTGCCTCTCTCTCCACTTGAATTCGTGATCGGAATGAAGGGCAAGCAAGCAAGCGTCGCTCGTACGTGGCAGCCCTGCTGGCTTACAATCAGCTCTCACTCGCCATACGCACACTCACGACTCGTGACCACTCGTGACTTTGAATGACTTTGAAGCGTTCAGCGAAGTCGACTCGACCTCGACGTGGCGGTTACGTGAAGCAACGGCTGCTCGCTTGAACGAGCTTCAGACTACGCGGCATGTCCACCCCGAGAATAGCTAACTCGCTTCGCCTCGGCGCTGCCCAGGGCAGGCACATCATTGGCTCCACACTCTTATATCGAGGCGTGAGCAATCGGACGTATCGATCGGGAAGCGGACGAGAATGCTGGCAGTCGACTTTGCCTGCAGCTACGCTGACGGCGCACACTCGCCGGCCAGCGTCGATGTTGCAGCACGGCAGCCCTCGAGCTGATCAGCAACCAACGCCGCAAGCCCAGCGACGGACTTTCCTCTCATGGTTTCGACGCAGGACGTCACGAGAGGAGGATGATCCATTCAAGCGAGGTCGCTCAAAGCAGCCAATCTTGTCTCAAGACGAGCTGTTTCATCCTCTGTCCAAATCGCCCATCCCTGCCATGCGAGCGAGAGGAGAGAGGGTGCGAAGCCAAGCTCCTTGTCCTTACTCTTTGACGAAAGGTCAGAGAAAGTTGGTAGCGTACGAATGCCCCGTCTCTGGCTGGCCTACGCATGCAGGGAGAGAAGAGTGGGAGCTGGACACGGAGAAGGGCAAATACATGGCTAGGCTGCGAGAGGCCAATGAGGACGAGCACGATCTCAGGAGCGGCAGGGACATTGCAGAGTTCAAGCTGCCCGGTGAGTACTGTGAAAGCCAAGGCAATCAAGGTGATCGTCCCCCCCCGGTCTGCTCACGCGCTCCAACGCGATCTTGTGCGTTTGCAGCCCACCAGGGCTTTGAGGAAGTCATCAATTTCAGCTCGTGGGACGTCTACTTTTACACTCGTAATCACAACTCCATAGAGACGGACAGGCCGAGGAGGCACGTTACCAGGCTGTTGACCTTTCCCACCACGATTGCTGGAGCTCTGCACGAGAACAGTCCATACACCAGGAGATCGATGCGGCTGACTCACGAAGGTTTGCGAAGCATGGTTGGTGAGTGTCTGGTCCAAGTCTCGTGAGACAAGGACTGGCATTCTTACAAACTCAGATCACGCTGACCACTGATTTGCGGGCTCGTACCCATCCTCGGTGCAGCCTTGAGACAGACCTTGCACCCTAAGCTTGGCGAAAAGCCCACGCTGGACGTCGTTCGCCTCATCGTCGTCGGAGCTCGAGCAGAGTCTACGTTGCCACCTCAAGTCTGGGATCAGCTGCAATACATATTCCCAGGCGTCGCTTTCCACGTCTTCCTCATCGGCCCAGAAGCTGTCCCCAATCAGCAAAAGGACAGCGCATACGTGACGGGACCTTCTCGACAGCCTCGCAAGAGCCGCTATGGTGTGCCTAGCAGTACGGTGGTTGTCTCAAGAGGATTGACTATCACAACGTTGCAAGCACCTTACGAAGATGTGCACGCTCAATTGGAACCTTTTGACCCATACACCGACGTCTTTTTCGCCTTCTCACCAGGCTTTGGTTTTCCCTCTCAGCTAGCTGTGCAAGAGGCATTGAGAGCCAAGGCGGAAGAGAGGGAGGACGAGAAGAAGATGAAGGCCGCGAGGGAGACTTACTACGCCAAGAGTGCGCAGGAAGAAGAGAGCAGAGGAGAGACGCGATCTGGGAGCAGATCGACGCCTTTCCGAGCCGCGGAAGGTACACCTGCGCCCGAGGGCGGAGAGATCCCTTCCGCTGAACCCGCCCCGGCTATGCCAGGCACAGCCGATCCTGGCCTCACATCAGTCGTGAGCGCGCCGGTCGTGCAGGCTCAAGCGGAGTGGGCTAGAGCCATTGGCAACATCCTGAGCACCAAGTGCGCCCTCATTGCCACGGGCTTCAGTCCTGCAGATATCGAGAGAGACGTCCTCGCTTTCGAAAGCATTGAAGGTGTGATGGGAGAGTTCGAGTGGCTGATCACTCCTGGGGAGAACACCTTTGCAAGTCAACAATGGGTCATCGGTGAGTGTCCAAAGCGACAAAAGTGGCTTCGTGATGATTTCTGACACATGTTCCATCCATTCACCTTCAGCGGACTTTGACCCCCGCGTCGCTGTAAAGGCTAATTGGGGCATCTGGGCAGTGCGTGGAAAGACCTACAATATCAACCCGCGACGTGCGAGCTTCATGGACCGCTTAGAGGAAAGCGCAGCAGAAAGTTGAGCTTCTTACTCCACTGTTTCTCTCATCGTCAATGCGGGTCTCGCAGCTAATGAGACACTTGCGCGCAATGAGGAGGAGATACGTCTGTGGATATTAAAAGACACTTCGTGCGCCTTCGTTGAGTTCTTCTCCAAAGCGATGGCCGTAGAGAGGGATGGGGTGCGGCAAGCTTCACCAGCATAGTTGAGCCGCTTAGAAGAGATGCTGGGCTTGTGTCATGGGCAACGAGGTCGATGCCGCGATTGTGCAAAGTTCTCCGTCGGCTGTCACATCGTACCTGTAGAGAAGAGCACGGGAAACATCGGTTAGGGACGATCCCCCGCAGGAGCGTTACCGCTCCTCGCGCTTTCCCGTACTCACGTCTCCGGGTCCACCGTAAGCCTGGGCAGCGCATCATTCCACTTCATGTCCCTCTTGCTGATGTTGCGACAATTTCGAACCGCCTCGGCGCGTTTCTTGAGATCGTAGGATGCTATGGCGCCTAGCCACACACACAAGATGGACTTGGTTAGGCCCTCAAAATTCCATCAGCGAAACATGAAGCAAGCCGTCAAGTCCTCACCTTCGTCGATGGATGCTTTGCTGACAAAGACGATCGAATTGTGTTGCCCTGCATGCCAACCGAACATGGGTCTTCCAAAGATCGGCTGGACCGTTGGAATGCTGGCGTTGGCATCTGTTTCGGTCCACGATATCCGTCAGCCTGACACTCGAGGCGAGCGTACAGAATTCTGATGGTAACTCACCTCCCATTTGCGCCCACGCAATCTGCCCGCCCTTGAGTACGATCTCGGGCTTTGTGCCGAAGTTCTCCGGCCGATATAGCACCAAATCGGCAACTTTGCCCACCTCGACAGAGCCTACGAGATGCGACATGCCGTGCACGATGGCACTTATCAACCGGTAGGACAAAGCAGAGCAGGGGGCATCAGCACATCAGACTTGGGTGAATGTATCATCAGCGACATGACTTACGGGTTGATGGTATACTTGGACACGTAGCGCTTAACACGTTGATTGTCGCGGCCGTCCTCATCTGGCGCATCCTGCCCTTGCGTCATGTCCTTGAGCGGACCAGTCATTTCTCGCATCTTCGCAGCGGTGCGCCAAGTGCGTGACACCACTTCGCCTATTCTTCCCATCGCCTGAGAGTCCGAAGAGATGATCGAAATTGCTCCAGAGTCCTGCAGGCAGTCTTCCGCTGCCACGGTCTCGGCACGGATTCGACTGTCCGCAAATGCAACATCTTCGGCGATATTTCGACTCAGGTGATGGCATACCATGAGCATGTCGAGATGCTCATCAAGCGTATTAGAGGCGTAAGGTCTGGTTGGATTCGTGCTGGAAGGAAGCACGTTAGATTCTCCGCAAACTCGAATGATGTCGGGAGCGTGCCCTCCACCAGCGCCTTCTGAGTGGTAGGTGTGGATGACCCGCTTTTTAAATGCCGCGATAGTATCTTCGACGTAGGATGACTCATTGAGCGTGTCTGTGTGTATGTTGCATTGCACATCCAACTCATCACAAACGGTCAAGCAAGAGTCGATTGTGGACGGAGTGGTGCCCCAATCCTCGTGCAGCTTGAGACCTGCGCATCCGGCGCGGATTTGATCTCTGAGACCGTCTGGATGACTGTCGTTGCCTTTGCCAGTGAACGCAAAGTTCATGCACATTTGGTCAGTGGCTCGCAGCATCGCGCGAAGCTGATCCCTGCCCGGAGTGCAAGTGGTGGCGGAACTTCCCGAAGTCGGGCCAGTGCCTCCACCAATCAGAGTGGTGATACCGGACGCCAGCGCTTCTTCAATGAGCTGCGGACAAATATAGTGAACATGCGCATCGATGGCACCAGCTGTAAGAATGAGATTCTCAGCAGCCATCACCTCGGTAGTGCTTCCTACAGTCATTCCTTCCGTCACATTGTCCATAATATCTGGGTTGCCCGCTTTGCCGATGCCAACGATGACGCCTTCCCTGATTCCGACATCTGCCTTGATGATGCCCCACCAGTCGACGATCAGCGCATTGATGATGACTAGATCCAACGTTTCGTCGTCTTTCCGAGCCGAGGCTTGGCCCATCCCGTCGCGCAGCACCTTGCCACCTCCAAATTTACACTCGTCGCCATAGCTGCACATGTCTCGTTCGACTTCGATCCACAATGGACTGTCCCCAAGCTTGACTCGATCGCCCTTTGTTGGTCCATACAAAGCTGCGTAAGCGGCTCGCGTGAGCTGCATCGGGCGGGGCGGAGGTTGACTTTCGAGAGCTGCATACTCTTCAGGAGGCGCGTCGAGAAAGCCCAAGCTTGTGATGCGAGCGCGCACGCCCTCGGGATCACGCCGAATATCGTCGGCAACAGCAGAGATATCACCATTTAGGATGCCACAGCCCCCACTGAGCTTACGACTGCCTGCGACGCTGACGAGGCCAACTGTGCGCACATCTCCCGGTTCAAAGCGCACAGCTGTGCCGGCAGCGATGTCCAAGCGATAACCAACCGCTCTGAGGCGCGGGAATCTCAGGGCCCGATTGGTCTCCGAGAAGAGGTAGTGTGAGCCGACTTGGATTGGCCTGTCTCCAGTGTTCGTCACTCGGACAGAGATGCGGTCTCTGCCTGGACAGAGCACGATGGGAGCTGCGCCTGCGAGGACGACCAAAGCACCAGGCACGTGATCGGGTGGAGCATACTCTTGGAATAACGCTTGCTTGGGCACCGGCAAGAAGGTGCCAAAGAGAGCGTCGGCGAGCGAGCCGGTCGGCGTACAGATGGGGTCATGAACAGTGACGAGGAATGTACCGTCGCGGAAGCATCCCTCCACCATGACCTCGTGCAGCAACTCGGGTACTCCGGGCAGCACGTGGTTGCGACCCAAGAGCGTCTTGCCATGCTGCATCAGCTCTGCAACGCTGTGAGTGCCATCTCGTATCCTCTCTTGCAGTACAGTCGCGATCAGAGCTGTGGCTTCGGTCTGATTCAGCTTCACCCCCCTCGCCAGGCGTTTTTGAGCCAGCGCGCCAACTTGATGCAAAAGGACCTTGTCCCGCTCTCTGGGCAGCAGGTGCATCGCGGGCAAGATACTCTTGACACCCTAACCTTCGCAACCCAGTCTGTAGGATATGTCCGTTTTGCAGAGCCTTGTGTGACTTGCCGCGTTGCGAACAGTGGATGTCGTCGCCATCAAAGCTGGTCATAAATGTGGGCAAAGCATTTCAATCAGACCGCAGGGCGAAGTGTAGCCCCACAAGATAAGGAAGAGCTTGTATGCACGTCGCAAATCGTGGCTTCGCCGCACTCAACGCTTGGTCAGAGGCAATGTCACGTGACATGTCATCACAGCCACACCGACAGTCACATCAGCCCGCGATTTCAAGATTGTTTACGATTGATGCGTCTTTAAAGTGCAGAGCTTGACTCAACTCGTGCTTACGATGGCGTGTCCCAGTACGGAGCGTTAAATTGAAGCGCGTCGCGTCAGCAACACGCGACGCGAATTATCTGCAGGGGTCCAACTCGTGCGGGAAGGATGAGCTTTGTTCACTCGGGCGCGGAGCCTGAAGCGAGCTGGCCGCTCGCGTTCTGCTGCGCGCTAAACGACCGCTGCGCGAGACACTGCTCGTGTGCCGAATAAAAGATTCCCATGCAGCAAGGACAAAAGTACACTCAGACTGTAGACGCTTGAGGCGACATTCACCTCCTTGCATCTTCTCGAGTGGAGTTGGACCGACGTGAGCTGGGAAGAAAGTCTGGAGACGACGCTGGCGCTGCCTCAGCAATCTCGGTGTCTCTGGCGCCCCTTCCTTGCTCACTAGCAGCTTGGTTCAGAGCTGGCCGAGCACTCGCAGTCCCTGACATGGATCAGATTCAACGAGAGTGAAATTAGCTGCCTCGATGCTCGATGTGTCCTAGAGTCGTGAGTATGTAGTTCTAGACCCCGCAAGTCGATCGTGTTGCCTCCGCTACGCATCATAAATCTTGCTGCGACACGAGCTTCAATAAAGAGGCACCTAATTGTGAGTGTACGCATTTGTGATTCTTGATTGGCTGCCAGAGGCTCAGGGCAGCTGCGATCGATCCCTTCAGGACTGAAGACTAGCCTAGGCTGGACTCTCTGAAGGATGCCGTATCCGCCCGTGATCGCTCGGTCCGGAAGAGGCGATCATCACACCTACCCTCTACATGTGATGCAAGAAAGTTTTCGAGGTGCGCCAGCAACGCATCGAGCGATGCAACAGTCACGAGTCAGTCGTGTGTATGGATATTGGTTGCTTGCAACCACGTGTATGCATTCAAGTGAAGCCTTTGCGTCATGAAACGCCTTGATGTGCTGTCTTCGTTGCTGGGAGTTGAGTTGACTCGTGAGAGTCATCGAGTACAGTACAGTCTCACACATGATGGACTAGTCTCGAGGATCGCCTGGCTTTGGCGGACCAACGAGGATGTGGGTCGCGCTCCCCGAAGAGCGCATGACCGGAGAACGGCTCGGCATAAGGTGCGCTTATAGAGTGCTCGAGTGCGGTACCGTACAGCATCCTAGAAGGGGGCACAGACCGCAGCTCTCGTCTGGCTGGTCGGAGGGAGGTGCTGCTTTGAAATTTACGCCGAACTATATAACAAGTCTTTATAACAAGTCTTTATCTCAGCCTTCGCTCGTTCCATAGCCTGACTAGAGAGGCTCCTCACCTGAGCGTGCGCCGATGCAACATACGGAGCACTCACACGCAACGATCAGGGTCTCATCCCAAAGAGAGCACATCACTCTGATGATCCTCTGCAGATGCGCATGTTGCAGCGGGTGGGTAGTGCAGCTTCGAATGATCGCCGGACGAAGCCGAGTCGCTTGAGGATCCGGGAAAAGTTATCGTAATGCTCGTCATAGATCATCAAAATGGGCTTGCAATCAAGAATCAAGAGATGGGTGTTCAAGTCTACAAAGCCAGCTGTTGAGGAAAAGGGCCCGCCTGGCAGAACCTTGCTGCCGAGACAGCAATCTCTCAACGTCTTGCAGGCCTCCCTGATCAAGATGTGACGAGCCCGGCGAAGGGGATGTGATGTGACTTATGCGGGTTCATGCAGGCGTGGCGCTGCTGTGCTTGAATTTGTGAAGTGACAAGTTCCGCTCCAAGGCAAATGGCATGGGGATCAGTGGCCGGCTTGACTACCGTACTTTGACTGTAAGCGTACGTACAGCTGCAATGCGAACGTATGCTGTGCAGGACCTTCCCTAAGTCCTTGGGCCACAGCACGGATCAAGTTTTTGTTGCCCGCGTGGATTTGGATCAGTCGGGCGAGCGTGCTATGTATGGGCCATGTGCAGCACCAACGGAAAGCGTTGACCCCATTCCACCTCTCCACTGTGCGACTCACTCACTCTTCCCCAGTGGTACCTCTCCACTGCACAACCGCACTCATCGACCCTTGCCAGGCCTAGCATCTGACGGCGCCCTCCTCTCTCTTGACTCTGCACTGCCAGGCAGACCGACATCCACGACACTTTGTTGTGTCCACCATACACATCCAGCGCACAGAGCCCGATAAGACCAAGGAAAGGTGGATCTTTCGAGGCCGCGGGCTCTCTTCGAAGATAGGGCTTCTGCCTCGACCCACTACAAGCGTAGTCACTCGCAGCCCACCTTGACACCTCAGCATTTCCGTATCTCAGCACCTTGCCCTCACACTTCTCCCAAGCACTCAAAGCTGCGGTGCCACGTCTCCTTAGCAGCACATCAATCAATTGCCCAGCCATCCCCTGGCGTGCTCACCGCAGCGTGCTCCGAGCTTCCACATCCTTAGCTGAAAGGCAGTCTTACTCCTTGAAAGCGCAAAGCAGTCCGTGAGTACAGCATCTCGGTACAGGCAGGGCAACAATGGTGATTTCGGGACTTGGGTGTGTGGTGCAAAGGGGCGAGTACCCCAAAAGGTCGAATCATCGTGCTCGGTTCCAATTGTTGCGCCAAGACGGGAGTTGTTTGATCATTTTTCGCGGGGAATTCGCTTCTTACTTGCGTCTGGACGAGCACATACCGGCATCCGTCAACGACTTGCCCAGCTGGCATGTCAGATATGTTTGCCGGCAAGACGTTTCGTACTTCGGCGCTCCTTTGTCTCACTCATCAGTCTACGTATTTTCCTGCTTCTAGTGAGGGCGCTGACACTTTAGCCACCCTGTCCAGACACTTCCTGCAGCCATTGCGCGGACAGCTTGCACCCTCGCAACACCTCGCCACGCCCCTTCGCAAGCTCAAGAATCTGGCTCAACGTTCACTTCTGAGCTCCAGGTAGATTGCATTGAAGCTTCTGTCACTACAGAAGCAAGGCGCACTCCTCCCACAGGGGGAAATCTGGAGTAGAGGAATCGCGCGCCGCACGAGAGCTCAAGTCTTTAGCTTCCAGTCCAAGTGGATCGCACTAATTCCCCTTCCGCCTTCCAACGCCTACTCTACCAGCTGCAACCATGATGGAAGCAGCACTAGCACGACACGCTGCTGAAGGGCCTTCAGTCTCCTTCAACAGGGTGGACCCGTATCGCACCCCTCCCAACCGTGGTCATCTCGCGCTTCATCCTGAAGACGCTCAAAATTCCTACAACACTTCTTCACCCTCCAACAACATACTTCACACGCCCCGCAGGGGTCGTCGAATGGCCGGCGTGGACATCTGGGGGACTCCGCCCCCTTCTATGGCTCCCACCACGGTGCCACGATTGGAGAAGCGACCTTCGAACACTGAGCGACAGCAAAATCCATCCTTGGGAAGGGGACGCAGCGAAAGCATGGGAGACGCAAAATTTCACAACAATCACGTCACACCTCGCAAACGGCGCAACGGACATCTTTCTAGCGACGAGAACGCCCCTACACTTGTCGACATTGGCGGATGGGCTGCTGCAGGGCTCAATGGCTACAAAGCAGGGCCTTCAGCTCGCGAAGCCGCCGCGCTGGGAATCATTTCGCCACCAACCTCCTTGATGAGCGCAGACGAACCTCACACTGCCATGCAATCATCGCAGACTCCGCGTTTCGATCATCTTCTGCTCTTCGGTGACGGTCTTGCGTCTGCCTCACCCAGCAAGATACCCAAAGTTGAACAAAAGCCAGCCCTTGTCGCCGTCGAGGTTCCAGGACGCGGTCGCCTCATAGTCAGCCCTTTGGTTGCTCCCCAGATGCAAGGTACCCCTTCGATGGCTGGTGGTAACAGCACACCCACCAGCTCAAAGCGGAGACCAACGCAGACGCCGAGCTCTCAAAGCACTGGTCTCCGAAGTGCTCCAAGCCCAAGCTTCAGTCTTGCCAGTCACTTTCCTGCCAGCTCCTTTGGAGGTTCACCGTCACCTGCTATAGCCAGGATGCAGTCCTCGCAAAGCCCCCGCAAAAGTCATGTTGCCAGTGCAGCTCTCACTGCCGAAGCTGAAGCTCCCACGCAGACTCCGAGTCGCGAGATGAGTCTCCCAAAGCTTGG